TCTTCCGAGTGTTTTCTTGGTTCTTTCCACAAAGGATCATTCATTGATTTCGTTTGTTTCTTCGGTCTAAGCTTCCTGGAGCTAGCATATATATCCTCGACTTGTCTAAATTCATTCTTTTTTTGCTCCCTCACTTGATTCGCTTGCTACTGTTTTTTTGGTCTAATAGCAGATAATATGACACAGCACGATAATGTCCGAAAGTTTTGACTGACAAGTTACCACGAATTTTTTTAAGTTATCAGAGTACAGCGTATTTCGAATAATTTGGACAGCAATGAAATTTTGGTTATTGGATAAAAAACTAGAACAGTCTGGTGATGTCAATATCTTTAAAAAATAGTGGGTTCACTGCCCAATCGACATCAAGTTTTGAGAAATTAAGTTTTTTTAGTCAACTTGAAGAAAAAAATGCATTTGTAGTGCGATCGTTTGGTCCCAATTTAATGGTGAAACTGGTTTCTAAAGAAGGAGTTTCTCCTCTTTGATGCCGCACTAAACAAACAAAATTTGAGGGCAGTATTTTTCTCTCAAAAAGGCGACTATTGCACTTCGTGTCCTGTGTTACCTACCTGCCTTTGGGTTGCCCAAGCTAGACCTACAAGGCAACCGCTCAAGGCAGCAACTCTTCCAAAAACACTTTTGGATTTCAATCCAAATTAAATTGGTGCTGCTTTCTGTTTTCGGTTAGAACTAGAGTCGGAAATCTCCGTGTTTAGACTTATTTTGATTATACTGTAGTCTTTTCACGATTTAGTTAAAGTTGAAAAGACGTCTTTTATGCAAATTCAAAAAAATTTCAAACTTATAGGTTTCGCCTTACTTTTTCTGCAATTCTTGTTTTAATGACCTGAAATGTATTGATTGGAGCTCAGAAGGCCTATACTTATCTAGTTCAATGCCAAAAACCCAATCTAAAACGTTTCAGCTGGGAAAACTTGCCGAAAAACAATGCTTTTTGGACACCTCTGAATTGATGGATCCACTAAATTAAACTCGTTAAGTTCAATTTTATTTGGCCAGGAAGGTTGTTGGCAAACGGAATCTAAAATCTGTCGGTTCATTTGTGTATGTTGTGCGAACAACAATTTATATCACATTAACTCAAAAGTTTTGAAAAATTATTTTATTTTGCTGCGTTCTATTTCTCAAAAATCACGATAAATTGGATTTTGGTAACCAATTAGTTCCAATCACGTCCAAACTAAATTCAACCGTTTCCTCTAGTTGTATTGGTTGAATTACGATGTAACACACTACTTTAGCGCTTTTTTGTTTCAAAAAGTATGGATATCTCAAAAATCACAACTTGAGGGGGAAACCAAATATCACTACTTTGACCCTAAGAATCTGTCTGTTTACGGTCTATTCGACTGAAAAACGGTAAAGGTTTGTTAAGACTGGTAGTATAAATATTAGTACTAGTAATATTACACACCTCCGGGTACGTTCAAATCCGAATTAAGGTGTTTAACACGAGAACTCGCAAATCGGTGTCACTGTCGAGCCCCCCACAGGTTGATATCGTACTTTCTGTAGCAAAAGGGATACAAATATTATTAACGTTATCCTACTGTCAATTATAGTTATCCTTGAGACCCCTCCTATTGCTCCTTTCACTGCTTGCCTGATCAGTCTTACATTTTTATTCCCTAATCCTTCCGGATTGAGCGCAAATTAGCATTAACGTGCTTAAATACTCAAACAATCCTACAGTACAGGCACCAGAAAAAGGCCACAGTTCTGATGGTAACAATCTGACTTGATATAAATGCCTTTAACAACAATATATCTAACAACAACAGACGGGAGTTTCTACTATTTTTGGTTTTTTTTGTGGTTATTTTTAAATTCACTTTTCATGATGCGTGAATTTTTGGTCTTAATTATGTTAGAAAGCTAAATTGGGGAATCCAGAAGGCTTCCGCGTTCCGAACCACCCTTCCGACCCTCGGCGCGGACTGCTTCGTTAATGGGTCTACCGATCAAGATGTTAAAAGAATAACACCCAGGAGAGCCTTAAAACATACATGTTACATTCGCCCGGAATCCGCTCGGTGCGGAGTGCTTCGTTAATGGGTCTGCCGATCATGATGTTAAAAGAATAACACCCAGGAGCGCCATAAAACATATGTGTAGCATTCGCCCGGAAGTAAAGGCCGACGGAAAACAAAGATAGGTTCTAAAGCGAACGGCTAGCATCTAAACACAGCTTCAGATGCTTTTAACTGTCTCTACCCAAGCCAGTTCAATGTGTTGTCCTGTGCCAGTCGGTCATATTTGGAAGTTTGACCTTGACAAAACTTTAAGTCTTGATTTTTAGGGCGAAATGCAATTTTTCAAAAATTCGAAATGAGCATGTCATGCTCAATTTTCTTGCGACAACTGAAAATATCAGAAAAATAAGAACAGAAGATTCTAACTACAATCGCGGGAAAGTAGTCAAAAATAGCAGCGGGCAATTGCTATTCGCAATTCCATTACATAACTCGAACGAGAGTAGAGCTGTCTTATTCTTGGCAGAAGACGGAAAGTGATCGCGAGTGGAGAGGATGTAAACCAGAGTGGACCAGAGTGAACCTTCGGTGGAGAGGTGGACAGCTGAAACTGCCCAATGGTCCAGATCAAAAACTTTTTTCTTAAGTTAAAATTAACTCATTTAAAACTTCTCGAGTTAATCTTAATTACCCAATCAATTCTAGAGTTACTTTATAGTTTAGTTGCTCGAATCTAGAGGTCGTGTCGGTTTGTGAGTATCTTAACTAATTTTCTTCAGTGTGTTTTATATTGCTATGTTGAGTTAGGGAGAGTTTTTAGGTTGATCCATCTGAAATGGGTCAAATGTCCACTGTCTAATAAAAAATAATTATACATAAGGTTCCGACCCTGTTTTTAACGGCGTTCGTGTATTTTGGGTATCTCGAGACCTAAGTATGGGGACGTTCTTATTTTCTAGAGTGGGGGGATATTTTGGTAGTGGCCTTTAAGCTGTAACGGGTTTTAGTCTCATGTCGCAAGTGAACCGAATTGGCTCCGACCGCTTGAGATAACACAAGAGATAGTATCCCTGACTCTTGAGCTTATGGTTTATGATCTATTTTTCTTTAATCTGATAAGTGACTTAAGTAGGCGACTGTTACATCTATTAACATTGGGTCGACTAAGTCATTACAATTTAAAACTAGGCCAAACCGCGAATATTATTTTTAGTTACATGAAAACATAGTGAGCTCATTCGATTCAGGCCATTCCGAGAAGCTAAATGTTGTTAAGAAAACAGTTTACAGACTTTCCCGATATCTTTTTGGGTTCCTGAATACGGACGAAGAGCTGACTGCCTGACGACCCGGAAGTGTAATGAAATCTTACCAATAGCCCTTCTGATTCTCGGGAATTGCTCCATAACGATTGCAGCTGTACAATTGTTACAACTCGGGGTGCTCTTCTATTAATATCTTCGACTCTAGTTTCTATCATCTCTCTTGTTAGTCGCACTTATGTTTCACATCAGCAAAAAACGTTGTTCTGACCCTCGCGCCTCCCAGTTGTCGCGAAAAAAAACAATATTGTTATCTGCCATGCACGCCGAATTCGAAAATAAAAAAAACCTATGTCAATCCAAATTGACGCCTCCGAATGCGTTCAATTGAACGATTCGCAGCTTCAATCGTTCAAAACAGCCAGTTTTCCCACTACACTGCTCAAAATTAAAAATCCGTAATGACATGCATTTCAGTTCTTTCTGGTCGAATGTCACATAAAGTGTTTCTTCTTCTTTAAGGTACCCACTAGAAGAGTCTGCTTAGATTTTTTTTCAAATATTTCCAAGTTATCAAATTTAATGCTCTACGCACCACAACAACTAGGCCAACAAATTTCATGCCTTCTATACTATGTATAAGGGATGCAGACTGCTGCGCATAGTACAATTTATCGGTAACTATATATGCCAGTCTGTCATTTTTGGAAGTTTGACCTTGATTTGGAAGTTTAACCTTAATTTTGGGGAAAAAATAATTATCGAAAAATTTGAATCGACGATATCATGCTCAAGTTTCTCGCGACAACTGAAAATCAGATGTTAATTATATAAGAAGAGAAGAATCAGAAACGAGGGAAAGTCTAAAAAAAATCAGTCTAGACTAAAAGTGCTGTTCGCAATTTCACTGCAATCAACAACTCGAGTAGAGCTGTCTTGTTCCTGATAGAAAGCAACTCGAAGTCTTACGAGAATATCATGGTTGGGCGAGAGAGAATCTTGATTGGCCAGGCAGACGAGTGAAGCTGCCCAATAGTTCTGAAGACTAAACTTATTGATTTAAAACTACTTGTTACAAAAAACTTCTAGAGTTGCTTTACTTATATTATTTACCTAATTCTAGAGTCGCGTCACTATGTGAGTACTTAATTTCATTTCTCGATTGTATTTCATATGATTATGTTGAGATAAGGCGAGTTATAGGTTCATCCATTTGAAATGGATCAAAGCTTCACTGTCAAATAAAAACTCTTGGTTTATTAGAGCTTCCAACCCTGTTTTTAATGGCGTTTGCGTGTTTTAGGCATTTAGAGACCTTGCCATAGGGGCGTTCTTATTTCTTGACTGGGTGGTGTTTTGGTAGTGGTCTTTAAGCGGTTACACGATATGCAGTCTCGTGTCTTACTTGAACAGAATTGGCTTCAACTGAATGAGGTATAAAAGCACAAGAGATTGGTGTCCCTGACCCTTGAGCCAATGGTTATAGGGCTTGTTTTTCTTAACCTCATATGTGACTTAAGTAGACGACTGTTATAGTAAGCGCTATTGTAGAGGAAGGAGGGCTAAGATAATTTAACATTATGACGATGCATTTAATGCTGATATTTGACTTCTTTGATACAATGATAAAGCTGCTGATTTACATGCATTTTTATAACGCTGGTATGGCCACATCCAGCTTGTGCACTGACCGCAACTAAACGGAAGGGAACCTTTTGTAATTTACTTTTTGTTTTCAGTTATGCCATATGCAAATCAGCCTAAACTGTCTATGACAGAACTTACCAGCGAAAATGTTCGCTTTGTTCTGGAGGACACCGACTTAAGTGTAGCCAACAGTCTCCGACGAGTTTTCATTGCTGAAGTACCTACGTTAGCTATTGATTGGCTTCAATTAGAGGCTAACACGTACGTATTTGAAATCTCATGACTGAGCTCTGCTTATTTGGTCCTCCTCACCACTAGAAGGGTGATAATTTTCATTGTACGTCTCCCTGACCGAAAAACCCTAGTTTCAAAGATGAGTTGAATTGTCAATTTTATTGTCCTCCAAATCTGCGAGATAAGGTGCTCACTTGCGTCAAAAGAACTCTCTTTACTCTTGCGATAATCAAGGGCATTGCACATCTGCGAGATAAGGTGCTCACTTGCGTCAAAAGAACTCTCTTTACTCTTGCGATAATCAAGGGCATTGCACTCGAGTACTAGACTTTTTAACCCGTAACTCATGACTTCTGGACTCATCTCTAGTGGTACTTCGTTTCATAATTAATTCAATTTTTTTTAGTCTTTGCGGCCCTTTTCGCCAGGAAGTAATGAATACGCATGAGTCGCAAAGTCCTCTGTTCGAATCTGACCAGCACCTGTTTTTTTTTGAACGAGAATTTTTGTTTCAAATAAAATTGTCGGCCAATTATTTGACTGCTTAGTTGCCACATCTTGGAATCGTTTTTTTTTGCTAAGTGCATGTTTTGAATGGTTCTTTTAGTGTATGGCTTACATGTAATTTTACTTACTTTGACTTTGTATTTCCTGTTTTTGTGTCGTTTAAAAACTTTATTCGGCCCTAATTATTTCGGCCCATTTTTTTATCGGCTTAGTGATCTAATTTTGGGGCTTTGCACTTTACGTTCCTCTCCGCACTTTTTGAGAGGGTTGCAATTTTAATACTCGGTTTGTTAAAATTTCATTTTTTTGGCTTGATAGGTTTCGGCTTGTTTCATATCGCTTAGTTTGATGCAAGTTTTTGTGTGCGCATGTGTTATGAGGGGAAGGGGGATGTAAAAATTTTAAATTAGTTTTGAATTAAAAAAAATCGCCGCTGTCTTAAAGAAACTTGCATTTTGGTTAAACAGTGCTCTAAGGGGTGACAATGGACGTAGTAGTTTCATTGCCTTTTGTTCCGACCATTGAACATTGTGAGGAACTCTGTATTCGGGTGTTTTTAATTGTTTCTTTTTTTGTTCCCCACGCAAAATCAGGTACCACAAATAATCATTGGAATGGGTCGAGTGATATATCATATAAAAGCCTTTTCAGTCGTGATTTGAACGATATTTTATAAATTTCAAAAAGTCCCAGTCGAGAAACATTTTTGAATTTTAATTTCGAGTGAGTAAAGCGATCAAGTAACGTTAGTTCTAAATTAAAAAATAGCAAATTGATTCGTTCTAAACTTGATTTTTCTCCTAGGAATACTAGTTTTGGAAGCTGCATTTAGCGCATCTCTGGCAAATAAAAATTTCAAATACTAATTAAAATTATCAAAGCAAAAATTGAAAAAAAAATATGAAATTTTTTTTTTGATTTTTTTTGTTCATTTAGTGAAAAAAATGTAGTAGTTTTTGCGTAATTCACCAAATTATTACGCGTTCGTATAGTTCTGTCATCACACGACGCACAAGAAAAGGCCATGTTTCGACAACATTTCTGAGAATGTAGTCGGAACATTCTGTGCTACTTGCACAGCAACCGTCTATCCTTGTTCCGTGTGGTTTTGGTTTTTCAGATAAAATTTTTCTCGCTTTATTTTGTTAGCTCAGCTATTGATTCAATTTTGAGTTCATTTCCAAACAATTTGAGATTGCAGGCAAATAACGTTCTCCCTTACCGTTAAGCCGAATTATTTTCTAGTTTATAAATGGGTTTTAACTAATATTGCCGGTGTACTATAAACTTGTGTACGGTGCAGCTTGTTTTTTAGTAAAGCACGTCAAAATTTTCATATATTTTTTCAGTCGTTAACGTCGTTTAATTAATCGATTAGCGCTTAAAAATAGCGATGACAGAAGCCTGTTTGTGAACCAGTTTTTTTGCAATGTTTGGTTAGTTATATGAAAAAATATCAGTCGGAACATTTTCTTGACACTAATAGAGCTTTCAGATTATGTTCCTCAAAAAGAGTACATCAATTTCTTTTTAAGTCCTTTCCTTCAGATTTTTGTTATTACACTTGCGTGAGCAAGTGTATTGCAATCGGGTGCAAGTATTTTTTCCCTATGAGTAATTGTTCACAGGACAAATCTCATCATGGAGTTGGTTCGACTCCTGATGACCAATGGTCATATTTTGAGCTGTTTTGCGATTCAAATCGGCTTAGTATTTTCATATTGCGTCTTCTTTGGCAGAAGTTCCACGTTGAGGGGGGCTTTCAATTTCGATTATTTTTCAGAGCAACGGTCGTCTACATAAGTGGAGTCGGCGTAGTTACCGCTTTGTGAATGTTGTTATAATGGTAGGTTAAAGCAACCAATTGTCCTGCTTCATGTTTTTTTTCTAAGATAAATTTCATTTGGATCAAATTGTGGTATCAAAATTTTGGTTGAGGGTTTTTGGTTTTTCTTATGAGTCGATGAACGTAGTCCTCGTTGCTCACGATCAAATTAGATTTTTCGAGGTTTGACTTCTGATTCTTTTTAAAAGTTCAGTTTACTTCCTTTGTTGAAAGGAAAGCAGGCTCCTCTTAAACAACAGCGAAAAAAGAAAAGGGCGTAAAAACGTAACCTACTGCTAATTTCGAAAGTGGTTTTCGAAGCTTTCTGAAATTCAGCTGCTTCTGCGATGTCCCGTGCACTCGTCCCAACAGTAAGTTCTCTCATTGATTCTTTAATTCCGTCTACGAGGTCTGCTGTCCAGCTAGTTTCCACTCCAGGTGTTGTCTCGACAAATGCTCTTTTCAGATCAACCACTGTTTGACTCATTTCAGCAATACTCTCGTTTAATTCTTCTCTTTTTTCTCTTCCTTCCCGAAAAAAAGGTTCATCTAGGCAATGGTTTCTCTCAACAGACATTCAAGCGTTTTCTTGCTTGTTTTCGAAGCAAAGGCAGAAAGCACTGCGGAGGGAGCATTCAGAAACTCTGAGACGGTTGGATAATAGTTGATCTCCAATAGGCGACTGGGGGGTTGCTTGTTGCCACTTGAGACGTGTAGCTATGGATCAATCAGTTGAGTATTACACCCAGTAAGTTCCAAGTCTGGAGTTGGAGAAAGGAGCTCCAACAGCATTTGATGTTCTGGTCAGATCGCAGTTGGGATAGACCACTGCGCCACGCGGGCACTCCTGAATACCGCTTCGCGCTAAGGATGTGTGATCGACCAGTCCAATTGTAATTCGGAATTAGGAGCGCGCCACAGCTCGCTCGCTGCACTTCGACATCGATCTGGAACTATTTAATAAGTTTATCAGAACAATTAGGCAATTAATTATACTAATTTGTTCTTGAAATTGAAAGAGATCTAAGGCCATATACTTTTTCTTTGAAATTCTCAAGTTGAAGTCAAAAACGACAGTTTTTCTTTGCGTTCATTGAATCTTCTCCAAATGTCTGATGGCTGTTTATTTTTTCAAATTTGTGATTCCGGGCTCTTGTTTTGTCGACTAGCTTACCATGCAAAATTTTGGGATGAATCGGAAATGGTGCGAGGATTCGCTTTGCCGCTGAGTATTTCTTTCCGGCCAATTTGCTCAAGAAAGACCGCGGTCATTGACACCTTTACTTGCGTTCATTGGCGATGTTTTTTCGATGGACTGCTATTCAATTTTGGACTGCCTGTTTGCTATGTTCCAGGTCTGTTCTTCACGACGAATTTATTGCCCATCGACTGGGCCTAATTCCAATGACATGTGATGACGTCATTGACAGAATGGAATACTCTAGAGATTGTATCTGCGATGAATTCTGTCCCGAATGTTCAGTTGAATTTGAGTTGCATGTTACCTGCACAGACGACTTTACCAGATCAGTCACTACGAAAGACCTCGTATCAAAAAACCCGAAGGTTCGTCTCCTTTTTTTCTTTCAAACTATTAATTGGGGTTAAACTAATTACTTGAATAACTTGTTAAAGTAAGCAGGGGCGGATCTAGGATTTTCTCGAGGGGGGGGGGGAGGGGCGGATTTTCAAAATTAATTCGAAAATTTGGTCGACCTTTTTTTAGGTTGATTTTTCCAGCTCTCCCAAAGCAGTAAAAAGACCCTGGATCCTTGTTCCGTGTGGTTTTGGTTTTTCAGATAAAATTTTTCTCGCTTTATTTTGTTAGCTCAGCTATTGATTCAATTTTGAGTTCATTTCCAAACAATTTGAGATTGCAGGCAAATAACGTTCTCCCTTACCGTTAAGCCGAATTATTTTCTAGTTTATAAATGGGTTTTAACTAATATTGCCGGTGTACTATAAACTTGTGTACGGTGCAGCTTGTTTTTTAGTAAAGCACGTCAAAATTTTCATATATTTTTTCAGTCGTTAACGTCGTTTAATTAATCGATTAGCGCTTAAAAATAGCGATGACAGAAGCCTGTTTGTGAACCAGTTTTTTTGCAATGTTTGGTTAGTTATATGAAAAAATATCAGTCGGAACATTTTCTTGACACTAATAGAGCTTTCAGATTATGTTCCTCAAAAAGAGTACATCAATTTCTTTTTAAGTCCTTTCCTTCAGATTTTTGTTATTACACTTGCGTGAGCAAGTGTATTGCAATCGGGTGCAAGTATTTTTTCCCTATGAGTAATTGTTCACAGGACAAATCTCATCATGGAGTTGGTTCGACTCCTGATGACCAATGGTCATATTTTGAGCTGTTTTGCGATTCAAATCGGCTTAGTATTTTCATATTGCGTCTTCTTTGGCAGAAGTTCCACGTTGAGGGGGGCTTTCAATTTCGATTATTTTTCAGAGCAACGGTCGTCTACATAAGTGGAGTCGGCGTAGTTACCGCTTTGTGAATGTTGTTATAATGGTAGGTTAAAGCAACCAATTGTCCTGCTTCATGTTTTTTTTCTAAGATAAATTTCATTTGGATCAAATTGTGGTATCAAAATTTTGGTTGAGGGTTTTTGGTTTTTCTTATGAGTCGATGAACGTAGTCCTCGTTGCTCACGATCAAATTAGATTTTTCGAGGTTTGACTTCTGATTCTTTTTAAAAGTTCAGTTTACTTCCTTTGTTGAAAGGAAAGCAGGCTCCTCTTAAACAACAGCGAAAAAAGAAAAGGGCGTAAAAACGTAACCTACTGCTAATTTCGAAAGTGGTTTTCGAAGCTTTCTGAAATTCAGCTGCTTCTGCGATGTCCCGTGCACTCGTCCCAACAGTAAGTTCTCTCATTGATTCTTTAATTCCGTCTACGAGGTCTGCTGTCCAGCTAGTTTCCACTCCAGGTGTTGTCTCGACAAATGCTCTTTTCAGATCAACCACTGTTTGACTCATTTCAGCAATACTCTCGTTTAATTCTTCTCTTTTTTCTCTTCCTTCCCGAAAAAAAGGTTCATCTAGGCAATGGTTTCTCTCAACAGACATTCAAGCGTTTTCTTGCTTGTTTTCGAAGCAAAGGCAGAAAGCACTGCGGAGGGAGCATTCAGAAACTCTGAGACGGTTGGATAATAGTTGATCTCCAATAGGCGACTGGGGGGTTGCTTGTTGCCACTTGAGACGTGTAGCTATGGATCAATCAGTTGAGTATTACACCCAGTAAGTTCCAAGTCTGGAGTTGGAGAAAGGAGCTCCAACAGCATTTGATGTTCTGGTCAGATCGCAGTTGGGATAGACCACTGCGCCACGCGGGCACTCCTGAATACCGCTTCGCGTTAAGGATGTGTGATCGACCAGTCCAATTGTAATTCGGAATTAGGAGCGCGCCACAGCTCGCTCGCTGCACTTCGACATCGATCTGGAACTATTTAATAAGTTTATCAGAACAATTAGGCAATTAATTATACTAATTTGTTCTTGAAATTGAAAGAGATCTAAGGCCATATACTTTTTCTTTGAAATTCTCAAGTTGAAGTCAAAAACGACAGTTTTTCTTTGCGTTCATTGAATCTTCTCCAAATGTCTGATGGCTGTTTATTTTTTCAAATTTGTGATTCCGGGCTCTTGTTTTGTCGACTAGCTTACCATGCAAAATTTTGGGATGAATCGGAAATGGTGCGAGGATTCGCTTTGCCGCTGAGTATTTCTTTCCGGCCAATTTGCTCAAGAAAGACCGCGGTCATTGACACCTTTACTTGCGTTCATTGGCGATGTTTTTTCGATGGACTGCTATTCAATTTTGGACTGCCTGTTTGCTATGTTCCAGGTCTGTTCTTCACGACGAATTTATTGCCCATCGACTGGGCCTAATTCCAATGACATGTGATGACGTCATTGACAGAATGGAATACTCTAGAGATTGTATCTGCGATGAATTCTGTCCCGAATGTTCAGTTGAATTTGAGTTGCATGTTACCTGCACAGACGACTTTACCAGATCAGTCACTACGAAAGACCTCGTATCAAAAAACCCGAAGGTTCGTCTCCTTTTTTTCTTTCAAACTATTAATTGGGGTTAAACTAATTACTTGAATAACTTGTTAAAGTAAGCAGGGGCGGATCTAGGATTTTCTCGAGGGGGGGGGGGAGGGGCGGATTTTCAAAATTAATTCGAAAATTTGGTCGACCTTTTTTTAGGTTGATTTTTCCAGCTCTCCCAAAGCAGTAAAAAGACCCTGGTTTGGCCGAACTTTCTGCGCCGCAGGCAAAATTTAAAAAAAAAACAGGCCGAAAAAGGCGTTTTTAGGCAGTTTTTGGAAAAATTTGACCAAAAAATCGCGTTTTTTCGGCACGCGCTCCCCCCTCAAAATTAGTAAATATTGGCGCCAAAGGCGCCTTTAAAAATTTTTTAGGGTCCGTCTCCAAAAATGGATATCTCAAAATAGTACAAAGGGGGACCCTTGGGGTCGGTAGGTGGTCGAATCCCTGGGGGAAGCGTCCATCCCCCCCTAAATCCGCCCCTGAAAGTAAGTATAATTAAAGAGCTTAATTTGAACTAAATGTATTTTTTAACTTATGCCTAGACAAGATTTTCTTACCTAGTGAATACTTTTACGGTTTCAGAGAGATAATATTTTATAATTTTGGACGCAGCAGAGCGAGAAACTTGCATTAGTTGAAAGATGCAACCTCAAACACTTCGGCCGATTTCAAATGCAACTTTATTTTGTTTTGTCTGCTTAGAATCAGCAAACTGTCGTTTTTCAAGAGTGCCGTTATTTTGTACTAGGGTATTCCTTCAATACTGATTGGAATTTGAAAAATTTACTTTCATCAGATTAGAACGAAATCAATCCATGTGAATTACACTTTCAATCATTCTTAAGTCTCGAATATTTTAGAATTATTTTTGACAAAAGTTCAGTTTTTAAACAAAGTGAACTCGATTCATTTTCAAGGCTCTACAGTACCTGACCATATTTTTCCAAAATTTTGCCTTTTCAGATTGATTTCATTCTGAAACGAACGAACTAACGAAAAACAGCAGCCTCCTTGCTAGAAAAACAAGCTTTTTGCAAACCGATTTGCGCTAAGAAATAACATGGAATTTTCATCGCCTGAATAGTTGCTTTGGAAGTTTCATCGCCTGAATAGTTGCTTTGAAAAACTGAAGCACCTCGCCAGTCGATTTGCACTATGAAACAACCTTAATATTTCAAAGTTTCATCGCATGAACAGCGTGCTCAGAACTGATGCGGTCAATGAAGTAACTTGAAATATTTAAAAATTTCAGATGTTGAATCGCTTGCTTAGAAAAACTTGAGCTTATCGCAAAACGATTCGGTCTCTGAAATAACTTGAAATATTTCAAAGTTTGAGAGCTGGAATAGCTTACTTTAAAAAATTTAAGTTTTTTGCGAACCACTTTGGTCTATGAAATGAAATGACTTTGTTTATTTGAAATTTCGTAACTTGAAGAGATTGCTTAGAAGAATTTAAACTTTCGCAAACGGCTTCGGATTATAAAACAACTTGAATGTTTCAAGTTTTTTGAGCTCGTCTAGCTTGCTTGCTTACTATAACGTAAGTTTTTTGCGAACATGTTTGGTCTCTGAAGTAACTTAAAAAATTCGAAGTTTCAGCTAGACTGGCTTGCTTTGAAAAACATAAATTTTTCGCGGTTCGATTCGGTCTATAAAATGTCTTGAGCAATTTCATAGCTTCGATTGGTTGCTTGAAAAAAAAACTTAACTTTTCGCGAACTGATTCGCTTCATGAGACAACTTCAAATATTTCACGTTTATGTAGTTTGAATATTTTGCTTAAATTTTTTAAGAACCTATTCGGTCTTATACTAGCAACAGCTTAGAGTATTATTAAGAATCTTCTTTTCTTCTGATCTAATTCGCAAATATTGGTGCCACTTTTGGGGCACCGTAACAGCTTTTTGATAGCATGTGGTTTGACAATCGAATACTAATAAGTTAACACAGTTGATGCATTTTTAATCAAATGAAACGAAAAAAGCTATTTGTTTCAAAGAACATGACAATCATAAAAACTCGATTTCAAGAAATTTTCTAACACAATTTTCATCACAATTTTTAAAATGTATAATTTCTACATAATGTGGCTGTATGCTTTGCGGTTTGTAACATACAAAGTTTGTGTGGATGCCTTCAGTTTGTTATTTTCCAATTTGTCTTTGGTGCCACTTTTGCTGAATGGCATTGGCAATTTATCAACATTTGTAGCTGCTTTATTCGTGACTAGTGTTTGTCGGCGGTTAAGCGTGCGTGGCTGAGTGGTTATTGCGTGAGACTCAAATTCTTTTGATTGCGATTGGTCGCAGATCGAATACCTGACCTAGCCGACTTCTTGCTAATTCAAGACTTATCTTTCTTTCTATATCTATCTATCTCTATCTTTCTATACTATTTAAATGCGAGTGACAGCTATCTCCCATGTTTAAGCATAATAATTTTGCATGTTTAACGAAAGAGTTTTTTCATGTTTAAGCTATATCATATAGT